TCTTACAGTAATATCTGGGATAAATCTGACTGATTCGGGATTTCTTCTACCCTGGCCTTATTGACTCTGGTCAACCAGGGTGTTTGTGGTGGTGGTCTGCAGGGCCTCACTTACTTTAACCCGGCTCTTCAGAAATTTGCAGATAGTGGCCCAGTTTCCTCTTGAAAACTGATGCCTGCGGTACCCCTGCTCTTCACTGGTAGTGGTAGCCTCCACTTTCTCTTATTTTATTTATTTTAATAAGAAGAAAACGCTAAACTGTCGGGGTCACATAGCAATCAGGTTCGATCAAAGAAGAAGTCTAATTCACTGGATCATGAGTCGTCTCTTGAGGTTACTTTCTCCCATATCTTTAACTTCAGTAAGTCATGGCAGTATACAGGGTGGAGCTCTCTCTTCATTGCAAGTGCTCTGAGGCATCCACAGTAGTTTGGATGTTTTATTGGTTGTATGGAGGCAGTTAACAACCTCTGTACATTTCCCATTCTCCCATTTCTCTTGCCTTGAAAGACGCTGAGCACAAAATATTAAGTCATACGAGCATCAAATATTTGAACAGTACAATGCATTAGTGGTGTGGCTTCCCTTGTTTTGAATGCTCTCATTATCCACCCTTTGCTGTATTTGACTTGTTCTCCAAATGACAGATACGACATAATTATTCCCAAATCTTTTACATATTCATTACATTCTGTAAGATAGTCTGCCTATAATCCTTTATGCATGATAGCAGGGGGACAATCAAAGCCAATGGTTAGGCCCCTCAACTTTCCGCTTTCCAGATTCATAACTAGCCTCATGGACCCTATTGTATCTGCTCTTAAAACTATGTATGGAGCCTGCTCATACCATATCATCGAGTTCATTTCACTTCCCAACCACTCTGAGACTGAATACTTCCTGACATTCCTGCGCCTCCTCTGGGTCTTAACGTCCATCTGTAACCCCCGAGTAGTTTCTCTCCTCTCTTTGTCTAGCCTATCAATTCCTAAGTATTTTGTGTAGTAGTATATCTTCCCTGAATCTTTTTTTCTCGTTTCTTAAAAATGTTTTTTCTTGTAGGTTCATATAATTATAATCATGGCGGAGCGCTAAACCTGTAGGATTGTACAACGCATGTGGGGGAGGGGGATGGAAGGTATTAGGCTAATTCAATTCCCTAGATCAAGAGCCCCTCACCAGCGTCAAGGAACCTTCCTTGAGGGAAGACTTGGTATAAACCTTGGTAATAAATACCGACAAGCTGGTTTAGAAAAACACGTAAGTAAACACTAGGACATATTTATTAGAAAACGTTTAGGTCCTGGGACCTCGATCACTTCTAACATACAGAGGTTGAAAGACTATATATAGGCGGATAGTGGTGTGTGTGATGCATGATGACCAGAAGAACGTCACATTGGGATGAGGACGGGTAGACGATGAGATAATGCGACTCCTGATACTCAACCAGTCAAAGCACCACCTACCCAGCAACACAGGAGTCACATGATCTCATCTACCTGTTCTCACCCCAGTATGTCATTCTTCAGGTCACCATGCGTCACTCACACCTCACTCTCCGCCCATACATTCTGTCTTTCAACCTCTATATGTTAGAAGTGATCAAGGTCCCTGGACCGAAACGTTTTCTAATAAATATGTCCTAGTGTTTTTCTAAACCACTTTCAGGCTTAATTCAGGGAACTGGAGCACAGGTCAAATTCCCTAGATCAAGAGCCCCCTCACCATCGTCTAGGAACCTCCCTTGAGGGGTGTCTTTTTGAGTCGTCTTCAGCCTCTGTCCTCAAAATCCATACTCCATGTAGTCTTCTTGTCCCTTCCCAATTATTATTATTATAATCAAGGGGAAGCGCTAAACCCGGAGGATTATACAGTGCCTGGGGGGGATGTGGAAGGCATTCAGGCTTAATTCGGGGAACTGGAGCACAGATCCAATTCCCTAAATCAAGAGCCCCTCACCAACATCAAGGAACCTTCCTTGAGGGGTCCCTTCCCAAACCTTGTCCTGTATTTTAAGCTCATCGTTCTTCCCATATAGCAGTTGAAGTGGGTTACCACTGATCATGCTAATTTCATTTGTCCATTGTAAACCTAGTGACATCTGTGTATAATTTAGTTTTTACTGAACCAATTTTCATACTTTTGATTACAATGGAAGCACTAAACCCTAAAGGTTATACAGTGAAGAGGATTGATGTTGGAATCGGGTAATGAAGTGGCAGATCGGGCGGCCTCCCTCGCGCACACACTTCCTTCTGTTACCCCTCTTGCCCTAGGCCACAGTGATTTCACAAGGGCTGTTTGGAAGGGAATCCGTCATCAGTGGCAAGAGGGCCTTGCACATGCCCTCTCTTCTTCGGCGTTGGGCTCTGTCCGAACTTTTAATGGCCCCTGCCCTTGAGCTCGCCATCCCAACCGCTCGGTGGACGTTGCACTGACTCGCCTTGAGTCGGGCACTCGTGACTGGCAGCTCATCTATATCGCCTTCGATGACGGACTCTCCGTACTGCCCGTGGTGTCCCTCACAGCCTGAGACGGTGGAACACTTCCTGCTGTGGTGCCCACGTTATCACTCTGCACAGACTACTCTCCGTGCGGCCTTGCGCATACTTGGGGTGCACACTTTCACTCTACCTGTCCTCAACGGGGAGGGGTTTCGCCCTCTGGACCGTCAGGAGATATTGGCCTGTACCTGCTCCTTCCTGCTGGCTTCAGGGCGTATCAGAGACATATGATACATAGTTATTAGTCAAGACATTCTTCCACTTTGGTCGATATTCCCTCTCCTAGCACTGGACGGCCGGGCTCGATACGGCGTATGCATCAGTGGCCCTGAAACCCAACAGGAGGAGGTGGTAAAGAGTAGAGGGAGTTAGGGGCTAGAGGCGCAGGGATTAGTGCAAGAGTAAAACTGAAATCAAAGTTGGCGCAATAAGTTAGTTTCCATTCATGTCAAAAAGTCTGCGTTAAAAGATGGACCTTTCAGCGATTAATCATAGGGGAGCGCTAAACCCATAGGGATTATATAGCGCCTGTCAGGGGGAAGGATAGTACTCAGGCTCAATTCAGGGAGGTGGAACACAGATTCAATTCCCAAATCAAGAGCCTCTCACTAGCATCAAGAAACCTCCCTCGAGTGGGGCCTTTCAGTGAAAACATCAGTTAGTGCAGAGCAATTTAGACACATGAAGTGTATCCTGTGTGCCCTCATACACAGAACAATCTATTAATATAATAAAGTTAAGCACTAAACCCAGGTTTACAATCTATTATTTCAATCATAACTAGGTGCTAAACCATACACAATCAATTATGGTATGTTGGACACTGCAACCAGATAGTCCTTGCAGTGGTTCCAATAGTTTCTCCATGCGGTATCCACGAGCTAGTCACATCCAATGCATAATTATTATAATCAAAAGAAGCACTAAGCCACAAGGGCTATACAGCATCCAATGCATAAGAAAAGACATAGTAGTTTCCCAAACCCAACAATGGTAGGAAGATGGCCAGAATCCTAAATGTGGTTTAGTAGAAAACAATTTGTGGTCTAACCCAGACCATCGTCATTACAATTATAATCAAAACTAAGCGCTAAACCACCAGGGTCATACAATACTGCTGTGATGAACAGAGAACTGAAATAAAGTCAAGAATAAGGACTACCATCTAAGAAACATGGAGGTCCTGAATAGTAGTCTTCAAAACTCATTGACATGTTCTGGGTCACTGCAAAATGTGACACGTAAATGGTTAAGAATTCAAACAAGTTGAAGAACGAGACCTGCGCAACATTTGGGAACCTTTATTGTGGAAACATTTTGCCAGCCATTTGGTTCTTCAGTCCAGTACAGAGTCAAATATCACTGACCATTCTGCATATGGAAGGTTTGTGAAGATCATGGATATGGATAAAATAATGAAAACAATGGGCAGAGTCTATCTTATAGGAAGTAACATGCATCTTTGTATACAGGCTCTCAAAAGGGAAAGATCGAAAAACCACGAGACCAAAATGTAACTCTTGATGAATGGGAGCAAACGTAGTAGTAGTGGGGTGGGCCAAATAATATATTGGTCACTATATTCTAGTCTTCTCCATGGGGAAATTGAACAGAATTCTTCCTCCATAAGCCATGCGTGTCGTAACAGGCTACTAAAATGCCGGGAGCAAGGGGTTAGTAACCCCTTGCATTACAAAATTTAAAAATCAACTTTCTTTTTGGGTCATACTGCTTCGTGGAATATGGCTGGTTTGATATAAAAAAAAAAGTAAGTCTAGATACAAATAGGGCTGAATAAAGGTGAAGAAGGGTTTGTCTATCATCCTCCCCACGAAAGATGGGATAGTGTTTAAGGATATTCAGACGACTATGAGCATCAGCTTTCAGGAAGTTATGCAAGGCTTCCTAAACACTTTGCGATATAAACAGACCTTGGGGATCCTGGAGTCATACAGGTATAGAACAATAAAAGATATAATAGGCAGTCTTGTATAACTTATTTGGGGCATTATGACATATTTAATCCTCTGGGCAATGCCTCTTACTTAGTTTGGTCTCATCTTCAAAGGATTCTCAGCAGTGGCTAGTGTTGTGATACTTAGGAAGACAAGGTTATTACAATCAAAGAGGGAACACTAATCTTACACAGGACTTGCTGCAACTGGATTATGGAAGGCAATCAGGTTCAATCCAAGTTAGGGACAAGCCAAATACCTTGGATCAAGACCACACCAGCATCATAGAACTACCTTTGAGGAGCTGAGGAATCGAAGATAATCGGATTCAATCTATGAAAAAGACGGTAGCTCAATTCCTTGGACCAAGAACCCTTCATCAGCACCTTCCTTAAAGGGTGGTATGTGGTATAAACCACAGAAAATGATATCCATTTTCATACTAGCTTTGAATGTATGAATATAAAAATAACATGTGTAAGTAGTTGAACATAAATGACACAGTAGTGTGCTTTTAGCAGGAGAAAATTAAAGATAGTTTATAAAAATAATTCATATTCCAACTACAGGTGTGAATATACATATTTCTTAAGACAAAATTATGTGGTACTTAGCAAAATGTCAATAGTATGTACACATCACAGTTTATATAACCTATCTCAGCAAGTATCAAAAAATACATATTCCATAATTTAAAATTTGGTAACTTTCATTTATATGCTTTAATATTTAAAAAATACAAAATGTAAAGAAATTTTATACTGTCCCATGGTAACTTTATTGCCACTCCCAAAACACCATCTAATAAAACTATAGTTACGTTCAATTAAAATATTCTGCAGATATCACCTGGCCAAACAAATTGTTAAAATTTATTGTCCTACAATTTAATGCCTGAACATACATTCCAGAAAGCAGTAACCTGGTGGCAAAATATGGACTAATTCACCATTACTCTTCTAATCATATTAATCTAGATTGCACAAAATATTCGAGTCACATGTCATTGTCATTATTACATCTCTCCATCTTCAAAGTTTTGTGTGTGTCTATGTATATGAATATATGTATGTGTATATATAGTTGCAAAGGTTAGTGGACCAGTTTGGGAAGGTGTGTATAGGTATAAAGTTGAAAGTGAACATAGATAAGAGTAAGGTGATGAGGGTATCAAATGATTTAGATAAAGAAAAATTGGATATCACATTGTAGAGAGGGAGTATGGAAGTGAATGTTTTCAGATATTTGGGAGTTGATGTGTCAGCAGATGGGTTTATGAAGGATGAGGTTAACCACAGAATTGATGAGGAAAAAAAGGCTAGTGGCACATTGAGGTATATGTGGAGACAAAAAAAAATTATCTATGGAGGCAAAGAAGGGAATGTATGAAAGTATAGTAGTACCAACACTCTTATATGGGTGTGAAGCTTGGGTTGTAAATGCAGCAGCGAGGAGGCAGTGGAGATGTCCTGTCTATGGGCTACGTGTGGTGTAAATATTATGCAGAGAATTCGGAGTGTGGAAATTAGGTGGTGGTGTGGAGTTAATAAAAGTATTAGTCAGAAGGCTGAAGAGGGGTTGTTGAGGTGGTTTGGTCACTTAGAGAGAATGGATCAAAGTAGAATGACTTGGAGAGCATATAAATCTGTAGGGGAAGGAAGGCGGGGTAGGGGTCGTCCTCGAAAAGGTTGGAGGGAGGCGGTAAAGGTTTTGTGGGTGAGGGGCTTGGACTTCCAGCAAGCGTGCGTGAGCATGTTAGGTAGGAGTGAATGGAGACGAATGGTATTTGGGACATGATGAGCTGTTGGAGTGTGAGCAGGGTAATGCTGAGTGAAAGGATTCAGGGAAACCGGTTATTTTTATATAGCCGGACTTGAGTCCTGGAAATGGAAAGTACAATGCCTGCACTTTAAAGGAGGGGTTTGGGATATTGACAGTTTGGAAGGATATGTTGTGTATCTTTATATGTATGTGCTTCTAAACTGTTGTATTCTGAGCACCTCTGCAAAAATAGTGATTATGTGTGAGTGAGGTGAAAGTGTTGAATAATGATGAAAGAATTTTCTTTTTGGGGATTTTTTCTTTTTTGGGTCACCCTGCCTCTGGTGGGAGATGGCTGACTTGAAATAAAAAAAAAATATATATACAAGTTTCTTTCACAGAACTTTGCAATACACTACAAGACTCAAAGTACTGTATATTGCTAAAACACTTGGCTGAAAAATTCCTGTAACCAAAACCAAAACGTTGAATTTTTAGTGTTATTATTGTTGCTGTTTGGAGGATCATTTGAATTGTGATATCTGCACACTGCTGCCAAGACAGCTGTTGAATGGTGTTTTCTTATATTGGGTCACTACCTTGCTGGGAGAAAACCAATGGGGTGTATAAATATATATTACCAATTTAGAAAGCAGGGTCATATACTCTTTTAAGATTTGAGATACTGATGCATTTGAAAATAATTTGCACCATAATTTCAAACACACTTTACTAAAATCTAAATTAAAGTTATTGATTTTTTTTTTACCAAATTTTGTTTTAGGGATGTTTTGACCACACTATCAAAGTAATAAATTATATTTAACATTATATATAAAGCTTTGCTAGTGAATAATAAAATATATATATATTTTTTTAATGAAAACAGTAAAATGCAAATTTTATATGAACAAATGGAATCTGATCTATGGCATTTTATTAATACCTGGTAGGCAAGGCATATAGCAAAATAATTGTGATTTTGAAAAATAACCATTTATTGCTGCTCAATATGAGCAAACATTAACACTTCTACATTTCCTTTCCTCTGTAATGAACCAGGTTAATATTGACTTTTTTCTTGTCATGCAGAATTCAGAGATCTCAGGCAATTTTTATATTTTTCAACATATGTAGAATGGAATTTCATTCTAACCAAGAGTTACAGAGCTAAACATGTAATGCTATATACATATATACACAATTTATAGTCTGTTGTACATCAAAACAGTTTATGGCTTCAAAATATAACACAAACTTTTATGGATTATGCAAAATTCAACTTATGAAGTTTCAGGTAATCTGAATATCCCTGGGTTTTAGGAGTACCAATGCCATGTTGACCTCCACAAGAGCTACTGCACAGTAACAAAGCTCAATATACACTATCGCCGCCTATCTCGTGATCTAGATCTGTGGCGGCCATTTTTCTTAGCTTTGTGAGGTTTTCCAAATCCATTATCATAATATTTTTTATCGTCTCTGTCGTATTTTTTCTTATCATCAACATATCTATCAAACTTGTTGCCATATTTGTTGGAATATTTATCACTCTTTTCCTTATTCTCATATTTGTTTATTTTTTCATCTCTTGCATATCTATCATTCTTCTCATATCTATCATTGGCTTTGGAGTATCGTTCTACTTTGTCATACTTCTCATATCGGTCATACTTTTCATAGTTTCTCTGGGGTGATCGAGAATGAGACCGGGACCTTGATCTGACAATTAACCCCTTATCTCTGTAAAAAAAAAAAAAAATCCAATTAAATACTTAGAAGTGATGAACTGCATTAATAACTAACAATTTAAGCCAAAAAGTGGAAAATGTAATTGCAGAAGTACAATTAAAATCTTAGAGAGAAAAGAATTAAATTAATGTACTGCATTTCATGAATCAAAATACAGTTAAAGTGCAAAGAAACAAAATTGAGGGTTGTCTTTGAATCCTTAACTACAGGAGAGAAAGAATGAAGGAGATAGGAAAAATGGGGTGAGAAAGATGCAGAAGAACATTGGGGAGATGGGAAAGAAGATGTAAGAGGTAAAGAGGAAAAGAGAGGGTAGTGGTTAAATGTGAACAAAAAGAGATAGAAAAAAAAAGTGTGTGTGTTTCTTTTCATTATCAGTATATATACTTCAGGGTGCTGATGCTTTCAACCCAAAGCTTGTATACTATACAGGTAGAAGGGAAAGGAGACTTTCTGCAAATGATTGAAGAGTGATGGGAAACTCTGTTAGAGTAGGGGAAGAATTTATAGGGAGGATAAAAGAATAAGGGATGGAGGGGGGGAGAACAGGAACTAAAACTTACTTATTTTTTGTAAAACGTGGTGGAGGTGTTACTGTTGGAGATGGAGTTCTCGAGTACTTTTTGTTTCCTCTGTGCTTATCTCGGGAATGGGACCTTGACCGAGTTCGTGATCTTGATCGAGATCTGGAATGTGAATGAGAAGATCGGGAATCACCACGACGCTGCTTCTTGCGGGTGCGACGATGTGATGATCTCGAGTGGCTACGACTTCGACTTCTAGATCTGCTACCACTACTCCCACTTCGTTTTCTTCCTGAGTTTCTAGAAAACATCAGAATGGAATCTTCATTAGCCTACTTTGCAAAACACAAAAAGTGTCCTTAATCCAAAAGTGTCCATGGAACATATCAATTTAGCTCCCAACAAATCTGAAGATCCAAGACACTCATTTTGCATTACTCATTTATAGAACTGCAATACCTATGGCCACACATGCAAATTGTTCTATGCCTCACGATTGTAAATTTATATTAAGCCATGGATGGCTCACGAAAACAGACTGCCAAATATAGGATAAGCAATACATCTGCTAGAACATGATGTTTGTCTATTCATAATACTATAAGACCTATAAAAGCAATATTATAACTTACCATAGCAGTAAGATGAAATTGCAGATAAGTGCACAAAAATGTACCCATTCTAACATCAACTGTTTGCTGTGTGAACTGCATCACTTAGCCTTGACTATTGTAAAACTTTGCCACTTTTTTTTTTTTTTTTTTAAATACAAGTAAATAATTCAGCCATTCAGTTTTCTTTCTGACTGGCTGAATTTATTTTCTTTTAGCTAAAGCTTTTCCACCTCCAAGTTTCTGATTACTAGAGGTTCCTAGTACAAGTACAACTAAGCTGCTTATCATGAGAACATAATAATCAATCATTCGAATGAAGATTCAAAATTTGAAAATGGTATGTCCAGCTTTTATCAGTTTGAAATCCATACTAGAATGAAAATGGGTTACATCCCAAAATCCACACATTTAGTAAAACATGTAGGAAGGCAAATATAAAAGTGGCTGGCTGATGAGCTACCTAAAAAATCGCACCTCTCACATGGTCCAGTTATCAACTTGCCACCATTCTGACCAAATCACTGTTATATTAAGGAATGCATAATGATTTACTATCTATACCCATAATTCTATTCCACAATCTATATCTATAATTCTATTTCATGTCATTAGTCACAATTATCACCAAATTTAGAGAGAGGAAACATCAGTCTCATTTAATTGGTCAAAACATCCTGTAGAGTATGGCATAACCCTATCCCTAGGATGCAAGCTCAAAGCATGCTGCCACTTTAAGGCAACCCAGCATCAGGGAGGGAGGGGAAAAATATTTTATATATATATACATATATTTTTTATATATTTTATATATATATATTTTTTACAAAGCAGAAGTGTTATAAGAAGAGCAGAGTATTTGGAGAGTAAAAGAAAGGTGAAGAGAGTGGTGAGAGAGTGCAAAAGGAGAGCAGATGAAAGAGTGGGAGAGGCACTGTCAAGAAATTTTAATGAAAATAAGAAAAAAATTTGGAGCGAGTTAAACAAGTTAAGAAAGCCTAGGGAAAGTATGGATTTGTCCATTAAAAACAGAGTAGGGGAGTTTAGTAGATGGGGAGAGGGAGGTATTAGGTAGATGGCGAGAATATTTTGAGGAACTTTTAAATGTTGAGGAAGAAAGGGAGGCGGTAATTTCATGCACTGGCCAGGGAGGTATACCATCTTTTAGGAGTGAAGAAGAGCAGAATGTAAGTGTGGTGGAGGTACGTGAGCATTACGTAGAATGAAAGGGGGTAAAGCAGCTGGAACTGATGGGATCATGACAGAAATGTTAAAAGCAGGGGGGATATAGTGTTGGAGTGGTTGGTACTTTTGTTTATATAAATGTATGAAAGAGGGGAAGGTACCTAGGGATTGGCAGAGAGCATGTATAGTCCCTTTATATAAAGGGAAAGGGACAAAAGAGATTGTAAAAAATTATAGAGGAATAAGTTTACTGAGTATACCAGGAAAAGTATACGGTAGAGTTATAATTGAAAGAATTAGAGGTAAGACAGAATGTAGAATTGCGGATGAGCAAGGAGGCTTCAGAGTGGGTAGGGGATGTGTAGATCAAGTGTTTACATTGAAGCATATATGTGAACAGTATTTGGATAAAGGTAGGGAAGTTTTTATTGCATTTATGGATTTAGAAAAGGCATATGATAGAGTGGATAGAGGAGCAATGTGGCAGATGTTGCAAGTTTATGGAATAGGTGGTAAGTTACTAAATGCTGTAAAGAGCTTTTATGAGGATAGCGGGGCTCAGGTTAGGGTGTGTAGAAGAGAGGGAGAATACTTCCGGTAAAAGTAGGTCTTAGACAGGGATGTGTAATGTCACCATGGTTGTTTAATATATTTATAGATGGGGTTGTAAAAGAAGAAAATTTGCTAGGGTGTTCGGGAGAGGGTGGGATTAAATTAATGGGGAATCAAATTCAAAATGGAATTGACACAGTTACTTTTTGCAGATGATACTGTGCTTATGGGAGATTCTAAAGAAAAATTGCAAAGGTTAGTGGATGAGTTTTGAGATGTGTGTAAAGGTAGAAAGTTGAAAGTGAACTAGAAGAGAGTAAGGTGAGGAGGGTATCAAATGATTTAGATAAAGAAAAATGATATCAAATTGGGGAGGAGAAATATGGAAGAAGTGAATGTTTTCAGATACTTTGGGAGTTGACGTGTCGGCGGGTGGATTATGAAGGATGAGGTTAATCATAGAATTGATGAGGGAAAAAAAGGTGAGTGGTGCGTTGAGGTATATGTGGAGTCAAAAAACGTTATCTATGGAGGCAAGAAGGGAATGTAAGAAAGTATAGTAGTACCAACACTCTTATATGGATGTGAAGCTTTGGGGGGTAAATGCAGCAGCGAGGAGACGTTGGAGGCAGTGGAGATGTCCTGTCTAAGGGCAATGTGTGGTGTAAATTATGCAGAAAATTCAGAGTGTGGAAATTAGGAGAAGGTGTGGAGTTAATAAAAGCATTAGTCAGAGGGCAGAAGAGGGTTGTTGAGGTGGTTTGGTCATTTAGAGAGAATGGATTTAAAGTAGAATGACATGGAAAGCATATAATCTATAGGGGAAGGAAAGAGGGGGAGGGGGCGTCCTCAGAAAGGGTTGGAAGAGGGGTAAAGGAGGTTTTGTGGGGGAGGGCTTGGACTTCCAGCAAGCGTGCATGAGGGTTAGATAGGGTGATGGTAACGAATGATACTTGGGACCCTACGATTTGTTGGAGTGTGAGCAGGGTAATATTTAGTGAAGGGATTCAGGGAAAACTGGTTTTTATATTCCGGACTTAGTCCTGGAAATGGGGAAATACAATGCCTGCACTTTAAGGAGGGGTTTGGGATATTGGCAGTTTGGAGGGATATGTTGTGTATCTTTATATGTATATGCTTCTAAACTGTTGTATTCTGAGCACCTCTGCAAAAGCAGTGATAATGTGTGCATGTGGTGAAAGTGTTGAATGATGATGAAAGTATTTTCTTTTTGGGGATTTTCTTTCTTTTTTTTTTGGGTCACCCTGCCTCGGTGGGAGACGACCGACTTGTTGAAAAAAAAAAAAAAAAAAAAAATTTAAGGGGTGAATCAACTGATCACGATGGTCTGCCTCAATATGCATACAAGCATAATAATATTAACCATTTCCTCATAAGAATGTAAAAACAAAACATTCCAGAAAAATCTTGAAACTTCCACCACAATGATCTTTTGAGAACATTCAAAGTAATCATATATTTATGATTTATTTAAATCATGCATGAAGCATGAAACCGGTTATTTTCATATAGTCGGACTTGAGTCCTGGAAATGGGAAGTACAATGCCTGCACTTTAAAGGAGGGGTTTGGGATATTGGCAGTTTGGAGGAATATGTTGTGTATCTTTATACGTATATGCTTCTAAACTGTTGTATTCTGAGCACCTCTGCAAAAACAGTGATAATGTGCGAGTGTGGTAAAAGTGTTGAATGATGATGAAAGTAGTTTCTTTTTGGGAATTTTCTTTCTTTTTTGGGTCACCCTGCCTCGGTGGGAGATGGCCGACTTGTTAAAAAAAAAAAAAAAAATGAAGCATGATTTAAATTACTGTATGTGTTAAAGTTTATACCAGTACATACATCTATTTTTTTTAACCTACTGTCCATCTCCCACCAAGGTACAACGACCCGAAAGAAGTGAAAACGATTGCACCATCCTTCATTCGGTTAGTCTTGCCTGGTGCACACTCACATGAAAGATTGAATGAACCTTCAAACTGGAACATCCCACCCCTCCTTCAGCATGCAGGCACTACTTTCCACCTCCAGAACCCGAGCCCAGCTAACCAGTTTACCCTGAATACTGTTACCCTGCTCACTCTTGAACAGCAAGTCAAATAATAAAACCACTTGCCTCCACTCCTCCTACATAACATGCTCACTTAAGCATGTCCTTTCTAAACCCATAACTGCAATGAAATGTCAGTTATCTTTAGGTATTGTTCACGTATATGCTTCAATGTAAAAACTTGGTCCACACATTCCTTACCCTTCCTAAAACGTCCCCGTTCCTCTGCAGTCTTACTTTCTGTCTTACCCATAATTCTTGCAACTCGAATCATGGAATGAGTGGGGCTTAAACCCATGCCAAACAAGTCCTAAAACTCGCCTGTTACGCATTTGTTTGTTATTACAAATTCATGAGTCTTGCCACACTGCTGCCAAGTATTTCACTCAGTAGACTCAGTAGGCTTATTCCTTATAATTCTTAACTTTTTTTTTTCCCCATTCCCTTGCACAAAAGAACTATTCATGTTTTTTGCCAATCCCTAGGCACTGTCACCACTCCCTTACATGAATACTGTATATTGAACAAATGCACTAACCACTCAAACTACAGTGGAACCTTGGTTTTCGTTTGCCCTAAGTTTCGTTGAATTTGGTTTTCGATGACTTTTTTCATCAAAATACTATCCCAGTTTTCATTCATCACCTTGGTTTTTGTCCACCGTACTGAATGTGTCCGTGTGCCCGCACCCACACAAAGCATCCCATGCACGCATTCTGAGTCAGTCTGGCTTTGTTTCTTGTCAAGTGAACGTTACCCTGAACATTCATATGAAACATTTCGTAATAATCAATCACTTTTTGTGCTTGTTTATTGAGTGCAACTGCTAAATAAGCCACCATGGGGCCAAAGAAGGTTCTGAGTGCCAGCCCTTTGATAAAGGTGAGAAACACGGTAGAATTCAAGAAAGAACTTGTAGAAAAGTATGAAAGTGGCATACGTGCGGTCAATCTTGCCAGGATGTATGGGAAGTCCTCATCAACGATCAATTCCATCTGATGTTGGGAAAGCCGTAAGTGTGCTAACGAAACAGAGATCGCAAAAAATTGAAGATGTTGAAAAGTTGTTTTGTGACAGGGGTACCGTGACTCTCAAGCTGGTCCTAGTGCCAGTAGAAGACAAAGAAGGGAAGTAACCCCGGGTAGGGACTTGATACCTGAAGTCCTAATGGAAGGGGATTTCCCTTCCAAACACTAAGCTCTCCTCCATCTCCCCTCCTTGTCGTCTTCCATACGCCAATGAGAGTCTTCAATAAAGGTAAAACTTGTTTAAATATTCATTTATCCATTAAAATTAGTGCTTTATATTTATTTCTCCTTTTTTTCTGTATGTAAAACTAGTTATTCCCTATTTTTTTTTTTTAACAAGTCGGCAGTCTCCCACCGAGGCACGGTGACCCAAAAAGAAAATACTTTCATCATTCAACACTTTCACCTCACTCACACAATCACTGTTTTTGCAGAGGTGCCCAGAATACAACAGTTTAGAAGTTTTTTTTTTTTTTTTTTTCAACAAGTCGGCCGTCTCCCACCGAGGCAGGGTGACCCAAAAAAAGAAAGAAAATCCCCAAAAAGAAAATACTTTCATCATCATTCAACACTTTCACCACACTCGCACATTATCACTGTTTTTGCAGAGGTGCTCAGAATACAACAGCCTAGAAGCATACACATATAAAGATACACAACATATCCCTCCAAACTGCCAATATCCCAAACCCCTCCTTTAAAGTGCAGGCATTGTACTTCCCATTTCCAGGACTCAAGTCCGACTATATGAAAATAACCAGTTTCCCTGAATCCCTTCACTAAATATTACCCTGCTCACACTCCAACAGATCGTCAGGTCCCAAGTACCATTCGTCTCCATTCACTCCTATCTAACACGCTCACGCACGCTTGCTGGAAGTCCAAGCCCCTTGCCCACAAAACCTCCTTTACCCCCTCTCTCCAACCCTTTCGAGGACGACCCCTACCCCGCCTTCCTTCCCCTATAGATTTATATGCTTTCCATGTCATTCTACTTTGATCCATTCTCTCTAAATGACCAAACCACCTCAACAACCCCTCTTCTGCCCTCTGACTAATACTTTTATTAACTCCACACCTTCTCTTAATTTCCACACTCCGAATTTTCTGCATAATATTTACACCACACATTGCCCTTAAACAGGACATCTCCACTGCCTCCAACCGTCTCCTCGCTGCTGCATTTACCACCCAAGCTTCACACCCATATAAGAGTGTTGGTACTACTATACTTTCATACATTCCCTTCTTTGCCTCCATAGATAACGTTTTTTGACTCCACATATACCTCAATGCACCACTCACACCTTTTTCCCCTCATCAATTCTATGATTAACCTCATCCTTCATAAATCCATCCGCCGACACGTCAACTCCCAAGTATCTGAAAACATTCACTTCTTCCATACTCCTCCCCAATTTGATATCCAATTTTTCTTTATCTAAATCATTTGACACCCTCATCACCTTACTCTTTTCTATGTTCACTTTCAACTTTCTACCTTTACACACATTCCCAAACTCATCCACTAACCTTTGCAATTTTTCTTTAGAATCTCCATAAGCACAGTATCATCAGCAAAAAGTAACTGTGTCAATTCCCATTTGAATTTGATTCCCCAAAATTTAATCCCACCCCTCTCCCGAACACCCTAGCATTTACTTCCTTTACAACCCCATCTATAAATATATTAAACAACCATGGTGACATTACACATCCCTGTCTAAGACCTACTTTTACCGGGAAGTATTCTCCCTCTCTTCTACACACCCTAACCTGAGCCTCACTATCCTCATAAAAACTCTTTACAGCATTTAATAACTTACCACCTATTCCATATACTTGCAACATCTGCCACATTGCTCCTCTATCCACTCTATCATATGATTTTTCTAAATCCATAAATGCACTAAAAACTTCCCTATCTTTATCTAAATACTGTTCACATATATGCTTCAATGTAAACACCTGATCTACACATCCCCTACCCACTCTGAAACCTCCTTGCTCATCCGCAATCCTACATTCTGTCTTATCTCTAATTCTTTCAATTATAACCCTACCGTACACTTTTCCTGGTATACTCAGTAAGCTTATTCCTCTATAATTTATACAGTCTCTTTTGTCCCCTTTCCCTTTATATAAAGGGACTATACATGCTCTCCGCCAATCCCTAGGTACCTTCCCCTCTTTCATACATTTATTAAACAAAAGTACCAACCACTCCAACACTATATCCCCCCCTGCTTTTAACATTTCTGTCATGATCCCATCAGTTCCAGCTGCTTTACCCCCTTTCATTTTACGTAATGCCTCACGTACCTCCCCCACACTTACATTCTGCTCTTCTTCACTCCTAAAAAGATGGTATACCTCCCTGACCAGTGCATGAAATTACTGCCTCTGTTTCTTCCTTAACATTTAAAAGTTCCTCAAAATATTCTCGCCATCTACCCAATACCTCCATCTCCCCATCTACTAACTCCCCTACTCTGTTTTTAACTGACAAATCCATATTTTCCCTAGGCTTTCTTAACTTGTTTAACTCACTCCAAAATTTTTTCTTATTTTCATTAAAATTTCTTGACAGTGCCTCTCCCACTCTATCATCTGCTCTCCTTTTGCACTCTCTCACGTATAAAAATACACAATACAGTGGACCCCCGCATAACAATCACCTCCGAATGCGACCAATTATGTAAGTGTATTTATGTAAGTGCGTTTGTACGTGTATGTTTGGGGGTCTGAAATGGACTAATCTACTTCACAATATTCCTTATGGGAACAAATTCAGTCAGTACTGGCACCTGAACATACTTCTGGATTGAAAAAATATCGTTAACCGGGGGTCCACTGTATATCTCTCCAAACTGCCAATATCCCAAATCCCTCCTTTAGAGTGCAGGTATTGTACTTCCCATTTCCAGGACTCAAGTCCGGTTATATAAAATTAGCGGTTTCCCTGAATCCCTTCACTAAATATTACCCTGCTCACACGCCAACAGCTCATCAGGTCCCAAATACCATTTATCTCCATTCACTCCTATCTAATATGCTCACGTAAGCTTGCTGGAAGTCCAAACTCCTCACCCACAACATCTCCTTTACCCCCTCCCTCCAACCTTTTCGAGGACGACCCCTACCCCGCCTTCCTTCCCCTACAGATTTATACACTCTTCACGTCATTCTACTTTGATCCATTCTAAATGACCAAACCACCTCAAGAAACCCTCTTCAGCCCTCTGACTAATACTTTTATTAACTCCACACTTCCTAATTTCCACACTCCAAATTTTCTGCGTAATATTTACACCACATATTGCCCTTAGACAGGACATCTCCACTGCCTCCAACCGTCTCCTCGCTGCAGCATTTACAACCCAAGCTTCACACCCATATACGAGTGTTAGTACTACTATACTTTCATACATTCCCTTCTTTGCCTCCATAGATAACATTTTTTGCCTCCACATATACCTCAATGTACCACTCACCTTTTTTCCCTATCAATTCTATGATTAACCTCATCCTTCATAAATCTATCTGCTGACACGTCAACTCCCAAATATCTGAAAACATTCACTTCTTCCATACTCCTCCCCAATTTGATATCCAATTTTTCCTTATCTAAATTATTTGATACTCTCATCACCTAACTTTTTTATGTTCACTTTCAACTTTCTACCTTTACACACACTCCCAAATTCATCCACTAACCTTTGCAATTTTTCTTTAGAATCTCCCATAAGCACAGTATCATCAGCAAAAAGTAACTGTCACTTCCCATTTTGTATTTAATTCTCCATAATTTAATCCCACCCCTCTCCTGAACACCCTAGCATTTACTTCTTTTACAACCCCATCTATAAATATATTAGACAACCATGGTGACATTACACATCCCTGTCTAAGACCTACTTTTACCATGAAGTAGTCTCCCTCTCTTCTACACACCCTAACCTGAGCCGCACTATCCTCATGAAAACTCTTTTGTTGATATTTTTGGGTGTCTGGAACGGATTAATTGGATTTACATCATTTCGTATGGGAAACATTGCTTTAGTTTTTGTCCAATTTGGTTTTTGTCAGACTCTCTGGAATGAATTAAAAACGAAAACCGAGGTTCCACTGTATATCCCCAACTGATTTAATACACTTTTGTCTTAATCTTATCTCTCCCAGGTGCTATACCCCTTTTCACTCTACCCACTACCTCGTGCACCTTCCAAACACTACTGTCTAATTCTTCCTCACTCCTAAAAATGCTGTACTTCCCTGCCCAATGCACAAAATCAAATGGCCATCTGCTAAGGCAAGGTGACCCAAAGAAGAAAACACATTCACCATCATTCAGTCTATCACTTTCCATAAGTGTGCTGACATCACAATTCAGATGAATCTCTGACTAACAACCCCACCCATCCTTCAAAGCGCAGGTACTTACCTCTCTGGTGAGGAAGAACGCTTGTGTGTTGGTGAGGTTTTATTAGGTGAATTATTATGAGATACAGGACTAAAATGAGTGTTAGTCTGTGGTGTTGTTAATGATGCCACAGCTTTGCTGCGTAATCTTGCCTCCTGCTGTTCTCTGCGAATCTCCTCAACTTTTGTTTCCAAAACTTCCAATTTAACCTGCAACAAAATTGTAATATTACAACTTGTGACAAAATCCAATTATCTCAGTAAAATAAACCCTATCTCCATAGAACTTCTTGCAGTAAAATTTTCTGGCAATACGTCTTTAAGAGGGACATCCCAAAAATTTGGCACCAAGCGAAAATCTTGATATTGTACGATAGTTAAAAAAGAAAAGAAAAGAAAAAAAAAAAAGAAAAAAAAAAAAAAAAAAAAAAGGCAAATATGCAAAATAGCTACTACATACTCTAGATGCATTAAGCTACTTATGAAATTTGAAAACCAAAGAATGTTTCTCCTGACTAAACTTAGGCACCACAAGGTTAGCTCCTTCCATGAGTCATCCACCACTACCTTAACTGCATTCTGGAAGTATTTTGTACCTCCTCATTTTTTTTTTTTAACATGCTGGCCATCTCCCACCATGGCAGGGTGACAAAAAAAAAAAAAAAAAAAAAAAAAAAAAAAAAAAAAAAAAAAAAAAAAAAACTATCATTCACACACAATCTTAGTCTTTGCAGAGGCATGCACATATGACACTTCAGATGTCACTCCAAACATACATAAACAGTGTTTATGAAATATTTTGGGATATTTCATCCCCCTATCTTGTTTCAGGAGATTAACTAAGGAAACTAAAAACTGTGAATCTATTTCAGTGTTGAAGACAAAGAAACTCTTAGAATTCTAAGGGATAGGAGGGTGGGAGTTAACATTGAAATGTTCTTCAATTTGTGTAACACAGTTTAAAGTAACATAGATTCAAGAGAATGTAATTTACATGTTATGAGGGGGTTTACTGTATAACAAGCATGGTAGACAAGGAAAATTGCAATATGAATGAAATACCCATTTACAAGGCTCAAATATCTATAACCTACTACAAGTGTGTTAGGGGCTTGATATATACAGGAAGCCAATAATACATCATGGTCAAATCAAAAGAATGATTTAATCTACATACTGCACATATACTTGCCTTCTTCCTAGTGTAGAGTCTAAGTATAGAAGCAGCTACATCCTCAATGCACTCTTGAGAGACTCTTAAGACCAGGTACCAAGGAGGCTGTTCAGGAAGAGCCACTTTCAATAACCGGGCAGCAAGCCAGATACACGCACAAGCAATTGTCTCTGGACTGTAGCGTACAAATACATCTGTCCGAAGGGCATCATTCATGTAGTTCCTGTTGAAGAAATACAACATGCTGGGGGATATGTTGCCTCCTAGAGGCAATAGTAGTTGATGGCTACCAGGCACAACAAAAGAATGCAGTGAAGCTGCTCAAATTATAATCACATGAAGACACTTCACAACAGTTTATCCTTCCCCTAGGTACATGTTCCATGGTTGCTTCCTTGAATAGGATATACAAACCAGAAAACAACGAGTGAATTAAAGACCCTGGAGACGTGAAGAAGCCCACTGCTGGCTGCCCATCCTCCACCTGTTCAACCTGACCCTCCTCATTTCCCTTCTACCTCATCCTTTCCTTTCTTTTCCCATCCTTGCTTTGCTGCTGCATGTTACGATCAGGAGACTGGCTGGCCCCACACACTCCTTTAATTATGTGGAATCTCAACACCTGCAAAGAGAGTTTAGTGCATGGTATTCCACCCCAACCCATCGCTGCACCACAATAGTCCTTCTCTTCACCAGTTGTGCTGGCACAGCCACTGTCACCACTTCCACTACTAAGAAAATTTCAAGTCATTTATGCAAGTTTCCATATTGTGATAAAGCTCCACACTAAGTGACAGACTATTTAGAGGCAAAGCAATATTACGCACTTTTCACTTTTTTGGAATATGTATGTCTTGTCCATGAGCCATCTGCATGCAATCCCTGCAATACTCTCAGCCAGATGTTACTTATTACCTATAAAAAAAAAGTGACGCATGTACATTAACTTTAAACAATTCCTCAGCTTTTAAAAAGTATTGAAAGCACCTTTCTTAGTGAGAGAAATATACGTTTGTCAGTGATTGTTTAACACCTTGATGCTAACAGTTATCACTTGATGACTATGGCTTTACTACTGAACTATTACATTCACAATTAATGGCTGGAGCTACATAAAGTCAATAATAAGCCGCTGTGTGTGTGGTAGCTGTAGGCCAGGCAGGCACGGCAGAGCCTAAGAGGGAGTTGCTGGGGAGTCAACTCTGCCTGCTAGAGGTACCCCGGCAGACACCACCCACGGCGCCACCACACACGACCGAAGGGGAGCCCAGAGTGACAGGGGCCCAGCCAGACTACACGTCACATGCCAGCCGCGCTAGCAGAGGGGAAGGTGGTGGTGGTGGAGCTGAAGGTCAAGGTGGTTGTGGTGGTGGTGGTGATGATGGAGGGCGCAGGGGCAGTGCTGGTCTCACCAACACTACTTACCTTGCCCCACCTTCCTCTGAGATGGAACAAAACCTTACATTAATATTGTGCAATCAAAACATCTTTTTTTTGAGTAATTAGCACCTCATTTGGTAATCATACAATTTCACTTGTATGCAATTTGAGCAACAAATTAAAAATCGCTGACAATTTCTGAAATAAAAAAATGATATAATTCAGACTCTTTCAGTAAATAACTACCAAAAGTTTAAATTAGTAAGTGTGCACACATTTTTCATTCAACATTCAAATGATTAAAACTTGTATATACCCTTTTTTTAAAAATAAACAATTTAAAAAACACTGCATCATAAATCTTTAAAGAGGAAGAGGAGAAAGTAACCTTTTTTAATTTCTTGTGCCTGGTACCACAAAGTGAGCCATCAACTGTTTGCCTTAGTTTTAAACAAAATGTGACACTGATTCAACTTAAAATCTGTCTCAACAGACAATGAAAAAAACCCAAAGACCACATTTTACATTACCGAGGTCCTAAAATCTTAAACAGGCCGTATGATTCATGTTAAAGTAACACCTAGGTTCTCAAGATCCAAAAGTTAAACCAAAGTTGACATGTCTGAGTTGACAACACAAGTCAAGTTTGGAAAGAAATTTGCATTATAGTAATTGTCTCAACTCAGGACAACAGACTCTAGGGTATCTTCATATCTATTTGATATTTCCCCTTTAAAGGTTTGCTCATGACAATCTACTATATGATGCAGTGAAAACTGGACCAATAGTATTCTGAAGCACTTTACATAAATGATTTATATATTGGTCACCAAATGTCATAGCTGTCATAAGAGGAGGCAATTCTATAGTACAGCTTTCAAAATAAGAGGTGCAGAGCCAATAGTGAATCCTTATCTGACAAAAGATATCAGTTCTTCTGTGGTTGCCATGTCATGACCATATTCAGGTGAAGCCAAGCACAGGGCAGTGTAACCTTTAGGTGAAGATAGTACTGTACAGTCGATTGACAAACTCGCCACTAACTGAATATCATAAAAACATAAAAAAAAAAATAATAAATAAAAGTAGGATGGATTTGTGCTTTTTAACTACTTCCAGGGCATTTAAAAATATTTCCTATAAAGATGTACAACTATGTTAGCTTTTATTCAACACCTCTGTTCAACCAACAAGCGCACTATCTTCACCTTATGTAAACCACGAACCACTGGAAAACAAAATAAGAAAAAAAAAAAAAGATACTGGTAGCTCCATCCAGCATGTCAAAAGGTATTACATAATAGGAATATCTAAGCCACTCATAATTAATACCACATTTCATCATGTTTCAACATAAATCATAATTCTACTAATTCATTGTCACACATCTTACTACAGTACAAACAAACCCTAAGATTGGGTAGATAATAATGGAGCCATCTTTTAATGATAAAATAAAAATTATAAACAAAAACTTAAGTAGGAATCTTTCAATCTTTAAGCAAAAAGGACAGATACAAGCTAATTAAAAGATAATTCAGCAAGAAGAAGTGAGAGAATATAAGAGGGCTGTATAAGGCTTAGAAAAATGGGTATAAGGATAATGAGATGGAGCTGCCAGTAATATTAAAATACATGACACTCACCATGAAGACTGGGCCAGCCGGCGGTTGTCATCCGCCTCCAGCAGACGCAGGTACATGATAATGATCTATAAGAAGAAATTGTGTCAAAAATAGAGTTACACAGAGACTATGAATATAATCAAGTTGCAATATTGTAAAAGATGACATATATAGAGAAAAAAAAACTGAGGCAGCAATCTTAAGATTTCCAAAGCTTCCTATACACCACACGTGTAGAAAATTTTACTCTTGAATTATCCAACAACAAAATCTTCCAATTTCTTCATTTTAATTTAAAACATAATATTTGCACCATACACTGTTTTCCACCCACAAATATGCTGCAAAATTTAAAGACCTTCTTTACAATGACTCAAGCATACATGTCTCTATACTTTGATGCAAAACCATTTTGCACCCAGTTACAAATTACTATTTTCATGACCCCTCAGCACTCCACCAACTGTTTCTGCACTACTGTGATTTAGCTTATGTATTAGTACACAACTTTTCTAGACCTCGAATTTGCCACACAGTGTTATTTTAGGCCACATCTGTGTTATTTGGGTCGCTAGCTACCTCATGTCTCCTAGGAAGAAAATCAAAGCTGCATGGGTATGCATGGGGTATTATGGGTAGTATCACCCAATAAACATAAGATCACAATGGCTAGATAACACACCAACCTTTCTCACAATGAAATCCAGGAAATACTGTTCAATCCAGACACTAATGACACTGAGGGTGATAATGGAGGACCATTTTCCAGTTTTGAAGGGGACAGCAATAGCGGAATGAGCAGTTCAACTCAAGATATAGAAGTGCCTTTTATCTTGGTCTTGCCAAAAGTAGATGCCAATGGTTCTTTACCAAATTAGATAGTGGTTGATGACAGTGAAGAGAAATATATGTACAAGGAGGATGGTACCAAATCAAGTGCTAGTGATAAAAGAATATTTACCCAGGAAATAAATACCAATGCAGTATTGCATTAGGTCTGGGTCTTACTTAAGTGCTGTTTCACTGTTCTATAGCAACACATCTAGACAAGGTTGGGTTAAGTAAGATTTGTCAAGAAATTCACAGTTGGAGCTCTTGGTCATCTGACTGAGGCCTTCTGCTGGCTTAAAGGTCCACCCCTTTAAAAATTAGGGTTATGATTATAACCACTTTTTTCTTTAAGTTACATCTAGACAATGATACTATTGTAAAACGTGATAGTGACACTGATAGTGCTTTCACTGATATCAGAAAACCACATGTAACACCAGCACCATATAGCACAACAGCTATGACATCAACAGTGGTGACAACAGCACCAGCCATGCCAACACAAACACCATTGACACCACCACCAGAACAAGCTGGGAAACCATCAGCCATGATAACATCCCCAGTGACACCATCACCAGCAATGGCATCAATGGCAAATATTACATACTCACAGACCATCAGGGTGTGGAACTGGCAGGAAACTACCTCATTTGTGCCAAATGTTTCATAATCAGATAAAAAAATACTGAAATTCAGCCAAACTATCCAATAACAGATGATTCCATTGAACTTGACTGCTTTCAATTATTCTTCTAGGACACACTGTTGATTATTGTTCTCCATACAAATAATTAAAAGTACATGTTAGCCAATTCTTGTTTCACTGAAATCACAGCTTCAAAAGTGGAAGGATACTACTGTTGCAGAGCTGTATTTCTTCTCTGAAACACTAATGCTGATGCCACACACCCACAAGAATATATCTAGGTACTGGAATACAGACAACCTTAAAGAAGCACCAGCTTTCAGTAAAATCATGCCCATTGATCACTTTCTCTTGTTGCTGCAAATTTTGAATTTCTCTTATAAAAGCAATCCCAGAGATGATTTGCTCTACAAAATACGAGAAACGACGTGTACCTGAAACAAATTTGGCAAATACTTTCATCCGACACAAAACATTGTCATAGAAGAGTCTGTATTTATTCAAAGCACGACTTTCCTTCAAACAAACGACATTGTTTGGTATTCAACTACCTGTGATATGACTGGAATACTGCTAGATGTTACTGTGCAAACAGTATTCCTCTCCAAACATGACATGTTTGGAGAGGAATATGATAGAGCTATATCTAGGTAAGAGCCATACCTTATTCACCAATAACTGATACGCAAGTCGTTCTCTTTGTGATTTCCTCAAAGTGAACTATAAGACACGTGCAGGACAGCAAGAGAAAATAGAAAACATATGCCATTATTCACAAAATCCCTGGATACCAATGAAGTGTATTGCACACCAATGACATGATGGCATCTTGATGTGATGAGACAAATGTTGTCAAACTATACACAGACATCAAATCCAGGAAATGGGAAAAGCTGACTGGCAAACAGATGAACCTACTGTGACACCACTTACAGTCATTGACTACAATATGAACACAAATCAGATATGCAAACTGTATCTGTGGAATGTTATGAGCTCCAAATGGTAATTGTTTTTCATATGCTGGATGTTGCAGTGCTCAATGCATGCAATATGTTCCAGGTAAAACCAGGATGCAAACCCAACTGGCCAATTTGTTTTTATCTATCATAGGATAGACAACAGAAAAATACCCAGTGAAGGCTCAGCCAATATGTCACTGCATGGGAATGAACACGATCCATTTTGGCTATAACCTGGTGAACGCTTCCCTGATACTATTCCTGCTACATAGCCAAGCAAGTGAGCAGATATACAGTATATCTGTAAATAGCGGTACACCATTGTGCCGTAAGCCATATTTTGAGGATTATCATACCTTGAAATAGTTTTAATATGAAAATAAAAACCAATAAAAAGTGTTGCATGACATTAGATATATATGATATGATTTTTTTTTATAGATTTATAGTCAGTGTGCTTCCCAACCTTTTGACAGTACTATTTTTTTTTTTTTTTTTTTTTGAAATCAGGATATTTTCATTGCAAAATACTGTACTTAGTGTTAACCAGTGCATAAAAACATGAAAAATTGCACTTTATTTGATTTAGAAAAATCTAAATGGGGCTTTAGCACTGATGTTACCAACAGCACATCAATTTAGACCAACTTCAATAATGCAAAATGGTTGTTTTTATCAGATTCCACTCAATTTTTTTTTCTTCAGAATCTTGTCCCACACACAGAAATTTTATTTCCTGGGTAAGCCACAGTTAAGAAGAAGTTAACTGATACAGTTAGTCTCAAACAAATATACCGCACTGTTCCTTCCTCTAATTTTCTTCCTTCTGACCTCTACTCTTTCACTGATCATTAATGTTCCCTCAAAATTTTTATCAACTTCTGCAGTCTTTTCAACTCGCAAATGACAGTCCACTTTAAATTTTTACCATTGCATTTTAAGACTGCACTATCCCAACTCTATCAACAAACACAGAACATCCAAGTAGATATCACACATCCTTGTTAAGTTCCACTCTTATTGGAGACCATCCTACTCATTTCCTTCATTCTCTGCCATGTACCTCCTTCCTGTTGTAAAAACCTGTAGTATTCAACAAATGACCCACTACTCCTTACATTAGTACCAATGCCACATTATTTACCCATCTTCAAAAAAAACATGAAATCAACAAGCAATAGTACCTTTGACTTGCATACTTCAATTTAATCTTTTCACCATTGAATGATCCATTCCAAAAATTCCCTACTTGCATCCTTAAACTCAAAATAAAAATTTGATGCCATTTCAGTTTATCCTGAACCAGTGTAACGCAATGTCAAAACCATGAGCATGGAAGAAAAGTTAAACTATCAACACACTATGGAAAGTCTAAAACCCATTTGGGTTACCCATTACAAGGGGTGGTGAAAACATGATCCTATATCTAATCATAAATTTCATTATGGTGCAGGACAGCTCTAAACACTCCAGTGTACATTTCCAAATTATAGGTTAGTTGTGTAATGTTCCGGCCATGGCACTGTGAAACATTCTTCATGAATCCACTTTTTTTTTTTTTCAGCCAGTCTACTGTATCACTTATTGTTCTACCATGCACTTAATGTGGAACTATGTTCAAAACTTATTTCCTCCCCTTTTCCGTATGTATAAACGCACTACACACGTTTTCTTACTAATTTTTGGGCACCTGATACAATTTTTTCCCTTGCTGCTGTCAGCACCTGCTATATATACATCTTATTAGCCTCAGTTTTTCTTTCATAAGTTTCTTTACTGCCTCACTCCCAGCTCAGCTAATTCTACGAGATCTCATTCTTTCCTGTCCCAAACATTTTTATTATTATTTATTATCACACTGGCCGATTCCCACCAAGGCAGGGGGCCCGAAAAAGAAAAACTTTCACCATCATTCACTCCATCACTGTCTTGCCAGAAGGGTGCTTTACACTACAGTTTTTAAACTGCAACATTAACACCCCTCCTTCTGAGTGCAGGCACTGTACTTCCCATCTCCAGGACTCAAGTCCGGCCTGCCGGTTTCCCTGAACCCCTTCATAATGTTACTTTGCTCACACTCCAACAGCACGTCAAGTATTAAAAACCATTTGTCTCCATTCACTCCTATCAAACACGCTCACGCATGCCTGCTGGAAGTCCAAGTCCCTCGCACACAAAACCTCCTTTACCCCCTCCCTCCAACCTTTCCTAGGCCGACCCCTACCCCGCCTTCCTTCCACTACAGACTGATACACTCTTGAAGTCATTCTGTTTCGCTCCATTCTCTCTACATGTCCGAACCACTTCAACAACCCTTCCTCAGCCCTTCTGGACAACAGTTTTGGTAATCCCGCACCTCCTCCTAACTTCCAAACTACGAATTCTCTTCATTATTTTCACACCACACATTGCCCTCAGACATGACATCTCCACTGCCTTCAGCATTCTCCTCACTGCAACATTCGTCACCCATGCTTCACACCCAAATAAGAGCGTTGGTAAAACTATACTCTCATACATTCCCCTCTTTGCCTCCAAGGACAAAGTTCTTAGTCTCCACAGACTCCTAAGTGCACCACTCACCCTTTTCCCTTCATCAATTCTATGATTCACCTCATCTTTCATAGACCCATCCGCTGACACG